CCCCCCATTTTACTGGTAAAAATCTTTCTGATCCCAATTAATTTTCACCTGTCCCCCCCCTCTGCCATACATTATGAATGCAGCCTAATATGCAGTACTGTATCTAGTGAGTATTGTATATAGCTAACAATATAATCCCTGGTGGCACATCACTACAATCGTTTAATTTGGTAGACCAAAAACAGAATTTTACTAGCCGACTGACATCTGAGAAATAATGATTAATACTCTGCTCTCCAAATAACATTACGACATTTTAAAGGAAAACTGAATCAATGAAATTTTGAAAACAAGAAATGTTAATGAGAAAATAGAAAATGTGTTCATGCTGTTGGTAGTCATGATGTAAGCAAGGATTGGCTGAACATAAAAGAAGTGTTGAGATATCAAGAAATGGCAGACAGACATCAAAACTTCTTCGAAACAAATATGCATAGCATACGAGTATCAAGGGCGGATCCAGGGGGAGGGTCGGGGGGGTTGCGACGCCCCTGTCATTCCTGAGGTCAAATGGGCTTCCTATGGTAAAAATGTGACTGGGATTCCTTTGCCCACAAAATTTACCCGAGACCCCCCCTTCAAAAAACCCTGGATCCACCCTTGAGTATACTACGCTTCACTAGTGTTCTGCCGAAGTGCTTTATCAAACAATAACTGCACAACTGCACACAAGGAAGCAAGAAAATTTGGATATAGAAACGAATACAATATGCCTGTGTTGTGTGCTGTGGCCTCAACCAATCCAAAAGTGAGATTTATAAGGGAACCATTATGCATCAGAAAAATCGAAAATATGAAAATATGTAAAAAGCAAAAAAGGAAGAGAAGACATTTTGGAAAAAAAAAAGATTTGAAAACTAGAGTATGTACGTGACAATAGCTGTATGTGTATCTAAAACCGAGGACACGAAAGTGAAAGTAAAACACCTTTATAAATTAGGGAAAATAGGTTGCATCTCATTGATTCTTGATCACATCTTAGCTTATAGGCAAGAACTATTATTCATGCGGAACCTTAAAGCAATAAGACCGATAACCGCTCAAAGTAAGGCTCAAATTATGTTATGAAAAAAGGAAAAGTTTGCTCATAAACACTATAATCATTGGTTTTGGTCACTTCGCAGTCAATCTAATTTCTGCAAGGTCATTCTAAATCAAACTTCCTTACCTTTCTGATAAAGCCTGTCGAAGAATAAAAATAAATATTAGATCAAGATCATTTGAAAATAAGAAAAATCAAATGTCTTTATATCTGAAGTACGTACCAGCTCGAATGGAGACATCGGAGAAAGACATGGCAGAAGAATCCGCAAAGGGATCTTCTGTAGCTCCGCCATATTTGTCAGCTTCCTGATAGTACATGATTAAATGTGATGAATTTTCTGCCTTTCTTTATACAATTTGACTTTACTGCGTGAATTATAGTCCAAGGTTATAATGTAGCCGAGAATGCTCAGCTTTTAGAATGTCCAAATGTCCATTAATGATGGTCTTTTAGACCCAACTCGTTCACAGCCAGTACTGACGACCTGTAAATAGTGCAAAATCGTGGAGATGACGTCATTGATCAAATAAAGACTGGGTACTGGATTCTAGGTAAACAGTTGGGAAATCCGAGGAAACACGAAGATAAGAGACCTTGGAGGTGTACTGCCATTTTTCACAAACATGCGTACTCGGAAGCTGCGAGCTGCACTCTGAAATTTGGTTTTCCAAAAATATGAAACGTATTGAGTGATTTTTTTTGATTGACGGCAGCAAATAAAACAAATTTTAATGTGCAAATTCACGATTCAATAAAATCACCCTCCCCCCCCACACAAACACCTGCTAAACCTGCAAAACAAGAATTAAGAATGACTTGCATCTTTTTGGTGGGGCCCAAAGTCGCAAGGGCGGATCCAGGTTTTTTTTGAAGGGGGGGGGTCTCAGGGGTAAATTTTGTGGGCAAAGAAATCCCAGTCGCATTTTTACCACAGAAGGCCCATTTGACCTCAGGAATGACATGGGGGGTCGCGACCCCCCGACCCTCCCCCTGTATCCGCCCTTGAGTCGTATACAGATATGGGAAAAAAGACTTCCGTAAAGTATTCGGCGCTCATCATCCTTGCTTCCCCGTGTTGTTTTGTCTTTAGTTTATAGAAAACACAGTGGTTTTATGCTAGCTAAAAACAGCAGTACTAACACGCACACAATTAAGAAAAAAACATTCTTTTATCAAAATATCAGCCAACAATAGATTGCCATAAGAGAGGGCAATTCAATCAGAAAGGATAATACAGTTGCCTGTGTCAATACTCTAACCACTATAACTAGATGCCATAAAGAGATTTTCCCTCTTAAAACCGTACGTTATACTATCTATGAATATTTGTTTCACTGCAAATTCAAAATCTAAAATTCGAAACAATATGATTTGATGACAAAAGTTTTCAAACTAGTGTTATGGGAAGACCTTTCTTGGTACGAGCTTCTTGGTCTTTATTCTACTCTCTATGTTGAACTAATTACAGGAGCTGTATTTATAATAATTCTAGAGTGCATCCAGTCAAATGTATCTAACTTAGATAACTATTTAGCTGGCGTCACCTAAAATAGTAAAAGCGCGTCAAATAACGGTCATGCTAATCCGGGGGGTTGTTTTACCACAGAATGAGTGAATAAACATTCATTTGTATCATCGTTTCTCCCCCTGATTTCAGTAGCTGTTTACTTGTAGTTTCAAATGTATGTAAGGTCAGCTAAAATAGTAACTAACTTATCTAATTGCCCTATTTCGCTATGACGTCACATCAAAACAATCTATTGTTTAAACGCAAAGGATCATGGTCGTCGAAGGGTGTCAAATCAACGCAAATTCCTCGAAAATTGTTCTAAAACCCGTATCAATCTACGAAGAGAAGTAAAATAGCCAGCACACGCTCAGAATATTTTTTAGTACATATTAACACATATTATATCTGAAAACCATGCCATTTTAGATTAAACTGTTTCGCTAGGAGCAAATTTTGTTGAATTTTGTATTGGATTTGGCGATATTATCCCCAACATAAACAAGCAGTGACGCCATAGCGAAGTTGGGCAATTTAGGTGACATCGAGTATTCAACAGTTTGACTGAATGCACTCTATGACAGGTGTCATTCTACAATCAATGTGATGATATTGTTGAATCATGATTGGCTAAGAGAAATAGTAAATTCCTAAGTGCGTTATTCTAATAACTAGTAATACGAGTGAAAATCTTGGAATTAAACATAGCTTATACTAAAGATAATAGAAAAGGCTACGAGGAATATTTCTATCATAAGATTCTAGAGAATAATCCTAAAATAACTGAGCAAAGGGGTAAAAAGTGTTTAGGGCGTAACCAGAGGTACACATGCTAATGGAATGAGCTAAGAGCATTACTTGTGAATTCAATGCATACCATTAGCTAAATTTGTGCGCAATGGTAGCCTTGCTGAAATCCTATATCGATATTTTTATATACATAATTGCTTATTCTTTATCTTATTTTCATACGATAAGTAATAGTAATTAGAAAACTGATGTCTTGCTTAGTTTGTCTGTAAATATATTCATTTTATCTCTCATGACACTAGTTTAATTATTCCAAAACAAAGTAGACCAGCCAAGGAACTTTATGCAGTATAGGCTCACTTGGTTTTTTTTCACTCAGCCAACCCCATCAGTTTCAACTCTTTCGGTTGCCCCTTCTCACTTTCACTCAATAAAATCATCTTATATGTTGCGAGCTTAAAATCTTTATTAGGTTAGCTCGTACTAGTCTATATACTATTATAAAATTACGCATACACCCATAGTTTCACCAGTACCGATATGAAAAGCAAAGGGCATTGAGTTATTCTTTCTGTCTTTTCGTCTTATATGTATTTAAATCAAGGATACGTCATATGGTATAGGGTTTCGAAACGATTTAGAACGCACAAACTCAATACACCTTCCTCACCAAACCTCAAAAGTTGAAAATTTTCGAAGTTTATTCTCGCTAGCCGTTTCCCCCCCCCCCCCCCCCCCAAATAATAAAAAAGTTGCTCTGGGCCTCCACTCTAATAACCCGAGTCATTGTGCGCCTTGGCGTCCATGTAAAACAAAACCTCGTTACAATGAATTTTTGCGCAAAAAGTTCCCGTCGACCACTGAGTAAAATGAATAACGAAATACTTTTTGCATTCGGCAACACGATATTAAGTACTAGTTCATCTGCCGAAGTGGTACTGCGCTTAAAGTTGAGTCGTGTAACATCATTTCTCAATCGAAGTCTTTGAAGTGGTCCATTACGTGTTTCTCATACTCACGCTGGTTTGTTTCGGGCGTGTAAAGAAGATAACATATAGGACATTCTTTTGCTCCACTAATGTTGCCTACCGCTCCGGTCTCATTCTCCTCGATGACCACAATTTCATCACCATCATCATCATGAGCACTTGCTTGTTCTATCCTTTGACTATTGCTACTAGCACCACTAATGGGTGATGTCGGTAACACCTGCACGTCACTACTACCTGAAATAATTATATTATCGACTACTAAGGTGTGCTGAGCCTCTTCTGCAGGCACAATAGAAGCAGAACTTTCACTAGTTAGGGAACGGCTCTCCGCAGGAGCAACCGAAGAAGCTTCTTCATCAAGCGAAGGGTCGTAATCAGGGTCCCTAGGTTTGGATATTTTAACACGCAGTCGCCTATCGGTCTCTTGGACGGGTAAACTTAGCATAGGAGTAGAAGCAAAGGACTCTGGCGGTGAAAGAGGCTTGGAATATTCCAGGTTTACTTCTTCTAGGAAAGCTCGGGGAACTGGCGGCTTTTTGTCTTTTTTTATTTTACCAGACGACTTGCCCTGAACTGCAGTTAATACGCTTGAAATAAATTTTCCAGGGACTTCCATAGTGCTATTAATTATTACGAGCAAACGATTGCTGAACTTTTTTTCATACTCTAGTTCCTTGTTCAACTGGATCAACTTTTGTTCCAACACATGCATTGATTGCGACACCTTATTCTTGTACTTTGCTAGTGACTTTACTTGTTTGTTCATCAAAACTTCATCATAGAATTTTCCTGTGAAAGAGAGCAAAAATAAAGCAAGTATTTAACAGGGCGGTCCTCACAACGACAACAGCAACGACGGCAACATCAATAGGTTGCTATCAATAGACGTCACTTCCGGTAATAGCTCTTTTTTGATGGCTTGTAGAATCCTGGAGGTTGTTTTGATCTCTTGTTTTCTGGTTTGATGTCGTGAAAATAGTCAAATACAATAGTTTGAGGACTTATTTTGATATGTTTTGACTCTGAGAATCCGCTAGTTGCCCCCCAGTCAGCCGCTTATTTGCCCCCCCAGTCAACTCCAAAAAAGTCACGTGATTGATAGTAAGCAATACAACAAGAAAAACGAAAAATAACAACAACAATAATAAAAAAACAAGTTCAGTAATAAAAAGTGGAGTCGGACTTTGAGAAAAATTTACCTTCTGTCTGGACCGCGACTGTAAATGATGAAACCTTTTTTGATTCTGGAGTATTTTGCAATAAACCAGCCATATTTGCTAGTTGTTCTCTATATCGTTTTATTGAATTCGCTTGGTCAACTATCTTGTTCTTTAGATGAATGATTATCGTTTTATTCTCCAAGCATTCTACACAGGGAATTTCTTCTGTCATCTTTTTGATGTCTGTTTGGACAAATCTTTCACATACAGGAGTCTTCTCGAAAGCCACGCTAACTTTACCATCAGTTTCATTCTCAAGCCACTGTTTTAGTAAATCTCTTTCGGACAAAAATAAATAGAAATTGCCATCTTGCTGTACAATTTCGAGACCACAATTCCTTAAAAGTTTCGTTGGAGTCGAAGACGGGACACATCCAACTTCATCGGTTTTCTCTTCAGAAGTTTGTGTACTAGATTCTACAGTTTTGTTTTCTTCTCTTGCAGGATCGAAACTTGCTTTGGTCTGTGTAGCTGTTTCTTCCTTCTGTACAGCAAGATCCTGAAAAAAATTAAAAGAAAATTTATAATAGCTCTAACTGTATATGCATTTCCTGACTGTCACTTCCTGTCCCACCCTAGTCAAGCCAAGTGTTTTTGTAATTCCATATATTTTAACCCCCCCCCCCCCCCCAATGAAGCTTAACAACAAGGGTAATTCCCAAACATTTTTTAGACCATCCCATGTTGTTAACATGAAAGTGTCTTTTGTTTTGGGTCTATTCCAAGAGCAAGTGGGGTGTGCTAGTTTGTTTATTGCTGTTATTATTCAAAATATTTTTTCGTCAATTTGATTGGTCAAGATAACTGTGAATAATTTATAACTGTCTACAAATAACAATCTGATTATTCGCATTACTGTGCAAAGCTGTTTTGCTGCAAATAATTGTCTGTTCATGCTTAGCAATATTGCATTTGTTAACATGGTCCGCTTTCCTGTGACTTGATATGTTTGATAGTAAAGAGCAAAAATTACCAAAGCACAAAAAGAAAACAGAAAAAAAAATTTGAATGATAAAAAAATTATTGAACTGGGTTATCACAAAATATAAACCTTGTCCAGTAATTGCTTACTATTTACACCAGATCATATTTTGAGGCACATATATGTTTATCCCCACTTATTATTGACAATTACAAGCATACACATATATTATTTTCCATTTTTACGAACCTGCTGTTCTTCACCTCTGTCCTCAGCTTGCTTATTTAGTCCTTCTTTGATAGTTTGTAGCTCCTTTTTAAGATTTTCATATTCTTTATACTTTTTATCAAAAGCTTGGAACCCTAATCCCACCTTTTCCTTCAATGTTTCATTTTCTTTTTCTATACTAGCACAAAATTCAACCTTGTTTTCCAAAAATGTGACATTTTTTACCAAAGCATTAATTTTTTCATGCAGTATCTCTTTCTCATTTCTAGCTGATATCAATTTCTTCTTCACATCATTAAATGCTGGGGAAAAAAGAAGAAAGAATTAAAGAAAATAAGAAGCAGTATGGTGGGAGATTCCAAGTTGAAAATGAAAAAAAACTTTTCCTTAAAATGAATTAATAATAATGTATACACCTACTTGCAAGAACGTTGTCATACGAAAATAAAACATTAGCGATTTAGTGGGATAGGAATTATATTAAAAAACAAAAGAAGATCACTGAAGCTGAACTTTTTCTTTTGTTGTCTTTTAATGTATTCCTTTCTCACTAAATTACTAATATTCTATTCTTGTATGACAACGCTCTTGCAAGTAGGTGTATATTACTTAATGTTTTTGATTGCATTTTCTTTTGTTGTCAGATTTTGCCAAAAATGTTTTCCCAAGATTAACGGTTAATATTGAATATATGAAATAATGGATTAACATGTTCAAATTCTTATATGCTACATGTAGATAGCGACTTTCAAATTGTACAATAAATTGCCTACAACAATTAAAGGTTGTCTCGTAAGGGATGGGAAGCATTTACCCAGTACATGTAGAAATAATATGCAAAGGAATATTGGCTATCCAAAATCTTTTTTTTTTTGTCTTGATAATGATACTGGACACTCAGGTATGTTATTGAGAGTTATCTGTTATAACCTGCTGTATCTGACACTGTCAGGGGCAGATCCTGGGGTGACAAGACACCCCCCTTTTGCTCAAATTTCTTACTTATATTGTTAGTAACAGTCAACCCCCTTCCCTCGAATTTCTGGCAAAACCTTTGCAATAGTCATCCCCTTCTAAAATTCCTGAATCTGCCCCTGACTGTATGAACCTATTAGAAAAACCTAATGTATTTATTATTTAATAACCACTAGTCCTCCTGTTGTGATGACCCTATAAACATCTGTGTAGAAGGCTAGTCCAAACCATTAACCATTTAACCATTAAAATTTTATTCTGGTGAAAACCATGCGATGAAAAAGTATATCCTGAATTCTTCTCAACTTTAGTCTCAAATTTCCATGTTCTTAGCAACATGAGGTTTGATATCCTAACTGATACTCTAACTTGTGGTAGTGTAAAAGGAGGATATTTACCAAGCATACTTTGCGCATCTCAACCAACTACATTATCAAACTGAAGTCACATGATCTGCTCACTTTCACTTTGCAGTCAATGCAGAAACATAAAATTAGTTTCTGGTGGTTTGACTATTTACTCACTTGGAGTTTGTTAGATTTCAAAATCTTGGAATATTGTCAGTTGGGTTTGTGACAAGAACTGATAAAGATACTGGTAAAAGTAAATGAAGATTAACTCGGCTTATATCCATCTCCTACTTGTGAGCTGGTGGTGACCTGGCACTTAAGCAGAGATTGTATGTATAAGTTTGTGTGTCGGGGGGATTAAAGGATTGGTTCACTGGTCAAACACAAAGCGCTCAAGCTAGGCGCCAAGGTACTTTCAAAGGATTATTCAAATTTGAACCTTGAAACTTAGACTGAATGCTAAAGTGTTTGACCATGTATGGAAAATTGTGAACTGTTAACAGTGTGAATAAGATATATAGTTCACACATTTCCAAAAAAAGTGAAAGCCAATGACGGAGATACTATAAATGTTTCACTGAACCACAAAGGTATGCAATAATGTAACATGATCAAGCTGCTTGTAAGCTCATGCAAGCGTAAGTTCCTTCTTCATTGTAAGCTTTATTCTAAACAAAATACTCGATCAGTTCCCGGGAACTAGCACGTTTGATCGAAATTTTTCTGAAGTGTCTTCGAATTGACCTTCGTATTCTATGCTGAGAAAACAGCAAAAGCGAAAATATAGATCTTTTATCGTTAGCAGAAGCGTTTGACTATTCTAAATAAAGTAAGACCCGGAGTAGTCAATCAATAAAAATCGATATCGATGAAAATCGATAGAAATCAGCTGATTTGTATCGATTTTTATGGGAAATCGTTTAAAATCAATAAAAAAATTGGTGTGAGTTCAATTTTAATCGATTTAATCGATTTATATTGATCAAGATTTGACAGCTTTAATTTAATCCAATAATGAGTACAATCATATAATCAGCTTTATTTCACGGAAAGTATTCGAAAATATCGATGATAGTGCAATAGATTTTATAACTATTAATTCACAAGTAATTATATGTAGATCAGGAAGCTAATTATCCAAGTACTTTTGCTGTCTGTTCACTGATCACTATAACAAACTCCTAGTTTGTGTCAAGCTATGGTTACGAAAGAGTAATTGCCGGTGGTGTAAATCCGTAGCCACACGACCCTCGTACGATCATCGATAGAAATTGTTCAAGAACATAAATCGAAAAAAATCGATATGTATATAATCAATCAATCAATAAAAATCGATACAAAAATTTAGTGTGAGTTCGATTTTTAACAATTGATAGATACAATCGATATCAATCAAATCAGCGGTATCGATTGTTATCGATTTATCGATCGGCAAAATCGATATCGATTTTTATCGATTGACTACTCCGGGAGTAAGAATACTTTCAATGGGCAAAGATGTGCTAACTCCCGGGTATCTAGTATTTTGAAATCGGTTCCCGGGTGCCGGATATCTAGACACTGCGTTTATTCTTCGTTTGCAATAGACGTCAAAGCCGCCATGTTGGAAGAATTTGATTTTTCAATGAATTCTTTTGTTATATCTTCCAACATGGCGGACATCCCTTTTTTATTGTGCTCTCTTGGGATTGATTGCAAACCAAGAATTCTAAGCGTATACGAATTTGACTAAAAGACGAAATATTTAATTATTACCTCTCAAAAGAAGTAGGTACGGTTCTTTTGGTACGAAGTCAGCACCAGTATCAACTCGTTCTGGGACAAAAACTTCCTGTGAAGAGTCGAGACTGCCATTTCTTCCTACTGGTGGTCTGCGAGAGTTTGATTTATCCTTTCTTTTACTCGCCATATAAACCGTATAAACCACCTAAAACCTACCACTATTGAATACAAACCTCTGAGCTTTGGATATAAAACTACTAGTGACTTCTATTCCGCTATGATAAGCATTTTAAGTTACTTCTTCTTAGTTGGTTGGCTGAATATGCTTACTTGCACTTTTCTCTCAGGCTACATCCTGGCAGGGTCAGTACTTCATGTAAGACCCCGTGAAATAGCTCACAAATATCCGTGTCGAAAGACCACAGGAAGCCCAAGGAGTCAATCGTCTCTCACACATAAAAATTATTCGAAGTAACAAGTAAATTTACCCCTCTTAGCTACTTGCTGGCTATGCTATAATGCCTAGCAGTTTTCGATTCTTTATTCATACGGCTTGAAATTGCATAACTAAAGTGGTAGCAAAGACTAGCGCTACCTGTGGAGTCCGCAAACCTGGCAAACTTTCATTTTGAAGTAAAGGGGAAAAACCCATACCCCATATGTGGTCTAAAGAAAATGTAACTTCTTAACACCCCCCTTAAACTATACAAAAAACATACGATCTCCCCGAAGCAAACTTTGTAGCTTCTTCCAACAATCGTGCATCCCCCCATTTTTCTGATAAAAATTTGCCCATCCCCATCTTTTTCCTACCAAAATTTTCCCGATTCCCCTCAATTTCACCTGCCCCCTTCCTTTGCCATACATTATGAATGCAGCCTTATTAGTTTTCTTTTTCGCTAAGCTGGCAAATATTGAGGGGTTTCCCCATGGCAATATTATTCATTCTCAAAATTTAGATACGATATGTAAAACTAGCAAAATTCACTGAGCAGCTTCCAAAATACTAACAGAAAAATACTCTATTCAAAAAAAAGATAAATAAATAAATTTAAATATATATATATATATATATATATATAAAATAGTGGATCCCCATCTGGTTTTATAGGTAAGAGTTCACGATATGTATATCAAAATTAATATTTGGGTTGACTGTGGTAAGAGATGCACGAGGTGAGCTGGTAATGATATTTTGACTACTCAAGCGAGTATAATCGCGAGTCACTGTAGTAGGGAAGTAACATTAAGAAAATACTCAGGTAGATACTCTATTATTGATGTGCGTTAGTAGATACCAACAGAAGGCTTGATTTCAACTAATATATCCAGAGGTAAAGATAGTTTGGGTTGATATCGTACACTTGTAGAGTACAGAAATCTCGTACATTGTACGATATTATAAATGTGTACACGTGTACACAAGAATAACAGATAGTAAATAAGATTTACAAACGAAATATGGTTTTAAAAAATGTTAATAAAGAGAAAATTGTATGACAAAACAGTACTCAAAAATACACAACGAATGTTTTCAGCGTGAGAATAAGATTTTGAACTAACTTACTTACTGATCGCAAGTATTAAAGTTTTACATAACAGTGAAAAGTTCTATTGTTTGTTGCTATACGAATGCAGATATTGCTTAACTTCCGTACTAGTATGTTGAACTAATGCTGAGGACTATCTTTGGGTAGTACACTAGCTAGTAGATCTATTTTATTTAACCCGTGAAAGAAAGATAACTATTTACCTAGTACTGCAGGGTTGTCAATAGAAGCCGGCAACCGGCAGATTCCGCCATCTACTCGTAAATCTTGGTACTAGCTGCGTATTATTTTTTCAAAGGTTAAATTAAATCACTCTATTAATTGAGATCAATTCATTTATTWATTTTGTTATTTTGTGTTAGTCATAGATATGTCTGATGAAGAGGAGAAGCAAACTATTCAGTTCGTAAAGAACCCTCATTTATCAAGCCTTGAGGATGACGTATTGTTCCATATTGGAATCAAAGCCAAGGACGGCCTTAAAGAACCCTTTGGTGATGTGAAGGTCGGTATATATATATGCCAACTAGCTATAATAAAATATTAAAGGGCTTGTAAGCCATCATTTACACGTATAAATTCAGTAATAATTACTGTAATACGTAGTAGAATAATAACTGTAATAAGTAGTGTGGTTAGATATTTAATTTATTCATCTATTTTTAGAGATGTGTTATAACTAACTGTTGTCCAGCCTCATGATTTTATTCCTACCTAATAGTTTGTCTGCATGGGAGGCAGCACAGACAGAATAAGACAGTTTGCAAAGTTCCTTCAAAATGAGTTGAGTGACTACCTAGAAAATGAGGACAAAAAAGAACCAAAGAATCTATCAAATACTGACCGCTATGCTGTTTATAAAGTGGGACCAGCACTTGTTATAAATGTAAGTACTCAAATACAATGCACTAAGGTGCAATATTGCAGAATATACACAATAGAGACATGTATATAGAAGAGTCTATTCTGTATGTAATGTTTACAACATGAGCGGCCATGTTGTGTCGACTATACAATCACGAGCCAGAGGGGAGTGATTGTATGGCCGAAACAACACAGATGTGAATGTTGTAAACAACTTGTGAAATGCCGTGAATAATTCATAACTCCTTTGGGCCATTTTGATTTCATATGCTAATTAGATACAACTTGACTTGTGTTGTATCAGAACAGTATACATCCACCAGTGGATGTATATAATTAGGGAGGGAGGGAGGGAGGGAGGGAGGGAGGGAGGGTTGGAGGGATTAAAGGAAAACTTTTTAGTAATGGGCTTTTTTATCAAATTAAAACTGCTAATGTATATTTAGTCTCCTACGCATAGCTACTGTGTAGGAGACTAATGTATATCTTGTTATTCTATTTTCAGCATGGTATTGGTATTCCATCTTTGATGGTGATAATGCATGAAACTCTCAAGCTCCTTTACCATGCTGATGCTAAAGATGTGACATTCTTTAGAATTGGTACATCAGGTGGACTAGGTTTGTGAAGTTTTATAGGTTCATTACATTTAGTAAATAACTCATCAGATACAGTATGAATTAAAATATTAATTAAATTTTTTAAATGTATTTTTATATAGGTCTAACACCAGGTACTGTGGTGTTAACGAAGTCTTCAATGAATGCTTTATTGGAGCCATATCATGAGCAGGTTGGTGAATGGTTACGTAGGCTGTAAACCTGTAGCCCATTAAGTCAATAGCTATTGCTTGTGGAGGCAAGATGTCTAATTTTTTTCATTACTCCAAAGAGAAGATTTTTTGATTTTTTCATTAAAAGAACTGTCCTTTTTTCACGAGGGTAGCACTTAATAGCAAGTGGCTAACAAACCTGTTGCCCTCATTCTGTGATCAAATTGGAATTTAGAAATTGGAATTTAGGAGTTGATTTAAATTGTGGAGGGAGGAAAACTGGAGAACCTGGAACCCTCGCAGCACAGGAGAGAACCAACAAACAACTCTACTCATATACAACACCAAACCCGGTGGAACTCGAGCTCGGGTCACATTGATGAGAGGCGAGAGCTCACACTGCTACGCCACCCGTGCTCACCTCTCATCAGTGTGACCTGGGTTTGAGTCTTGCCAGCTAGTCTCGGTGTAGTGAGTAGAGTTCCTAGTTGATTCTCTTCTGTGCTTCGGGGGCTCTTCTCTAGGTTCTTCAGCTTTCCTCCCTCCACAAAAATCAACTCCTAAATTCAAATTTGATCATGGAACAAGGACAACAGAACTTGTTAAAACAAGGACGTTTTTTTTTAATGCTCTCCTGAAAAATTCTAATGCCTTGTATATACATTTCATAGATCATATTAGGCGAAGTTGTGAAGTTTCCAGCCACATTAGATGATGATTTAAGGAAACAACTTATTGAATGCGGCAAGGATACTGGTATCCCCATGGCTGAGGGACATACAATGTGTACTAATGACTTTTATGAAGGTATGTACATTTGGTGGATATGATATATATGTATAATATATAGACCTTGCTCTCTAAAAAACAATGCCTCACAAATGATCTGGATTTTTTTTTCAGGACAAGGTAGACTAGATGGTGCTTTCTGTGACTACACACTAGAAGATAAACTCATCTTCTTAGACAAAGTTCACAAAGCAGGTGTTCGTAACATAGAAATGGAAAGTGTTTGTTTTGCTGCTATGTGTAATCGTGCTGGAGTCAAAGCTGCCATACTTTGTGTCACACTGCTAGACAGACTCAAAGGTGACCAGGTCCATCTCAAACCTGAAGATCATGAGGACTTTCAAGCAAGGCCACCAAAAATAGTTGCGGGATACATTAAGAAATACCTAGAGGAACAAGCTAAAAGTTCCTCTTTTCTTCGTAATGGCAACAAGAGAGCAAAAGCTAATATGTAGAAAGTTACCTTTTAATGCTAATTCCAGCACTAGCAAAATAATTCATAAAATAAGTTTAGTAAAGAGGTCATACCGGTAATATGTAATGTTTTCAAATTTAATAATTTAACAGGCAGACATCATAATATCCACAGTTATAAATAGTACGGTTTCATGGAATGGGGAATTTCGTGTTTGCACTCTAGGTAGGCCACTGTGTATATTTTTATCTGGCATTGGATGTACATTATTTTTTTGATCAAGTTTCTAATTATTTTAAAGCTGAAATTTCATTTGGTTATTTTTTGAGAAATAATAATGAAATCAATTGAATGTTTTAAAATTCATGTCAGTCCTACACAATAACTGCAGTTTATAAATTACTAGTTAGGCAAGAAAAAAAATGTTTTATAACATTAATGCTACCAACTGTACATCGTTCAGTTATTTTTTTAGAAATAGAAATGAATGCAATTGAATGTTTTAAAATTCATGTCAGTCCTACACAATAACTGCAGTTTATAAATTACTAGTTAGGCAAGGAAAAAAATGTTTTATATCATTAATTAATGCTACCAACTGTACATAGTGCCATAATTTATTACCACTTTATAGATAGAACTGCACAATTAATTCATTGGAAATCAAAGATGGAAATCAATTAATTCTCTCTTTCAAGTTTCTGTATTTTCATAAACATGTAACTCTGTAGTTGCAATTTGCTCATTGAAATTTGGTTTTTCACTGCTGCCAGTCAAAAATGTTGAAGGTGCCAAGTTTATTAGTTTTGATTGACTGCAATGAAAACCAAACTTGCAACAACCGAGTCAATAGACCTATCCCGAATTTGCTTGACTGATCACGAAACAATGGTTTAAAGTCGAGGTTGAACTTGATGAATAAAAGAATAAAGTTCAGTCTAGACTTCAAACCATTGTTTCATGGTCAGTCAAGCGAATTCGGGAAAGGCCTATTGTTTATATTGTTTGAAAATAGCAGTAACTAGTTTGCCAAAGGTTACTGAATATCATGTAACCAAAATGATGAAGTCCCAAAGGTTTAATGATAAAATATAATCAACAAGGGTTAATGTAATAAAGAACATTTTAATGCGACTTTCTTAAAATTATTGTGTTTTTTTTTGTTTCTTTTTGTTTCTATTTTTGTGTATAATCAAAGTTACTGCCATGTAATATTCATATTTTGTCCATGGAACATGTATGAAGTATATGTACACTAAGGTTTTTTTATACAATCCATGTTATCTGGATACTGATTACTGTCATTTACATCTAACTGCAAACAAAAGAAATCAAAACAAATTGTTCTGTAACTGGCTTCTGAAACTTGTATGTTTGTCGGCTAAAAACCTCAAACATTTGTTAATTTCAAGGTTGGCCTTGTTTGAAATCAAAAAAAGTTTAAGCCAACAAACATACCAGTTTTAGGAGCCAGTAAAAACTGGTGTTCTATCTGGCTCCCGTTAGAACTGATGTCTGGTGTTCGTGTCTAGATGAAAATGACAGTAGTGATTTTACTTGGCTATGACACAAAGAACTTATATATTTAGTGACTAATAGTCAATATTAAAAGAAAACAATAGGATTGGTGTATACTACTATGTATTTATGCTAACTATTTTTTCACAGCCTAAGTAAAATCACCATAGCTATAAGTTCTTTTGGTTGTTGATAAATGTTTTTGTTTGGTTTGGTGACCGGTCATGATGCCCCCTCGTAATGACGCCCCCAGCCATGACGCCCCCATGTATACCATGACGCCCCCAGCATAAACCATGACCCCCCTAGTCTCTATTAACACTTATTTAATAAGAAGTTTAACGATAATAATAATATGGTGCTACAAACCCATGTAAATCAAACACTATTGGGGTTGTTTCATGATCGCTTTGGTTTTGTGAAAGCATTGAAACTAAAAAATGGTGCCTTAACTGTATAGCCTCTTCTTTTTCATCGTGTGCAATGCAGGCTCCCAGCACCAGCTCTATGGCCTTGCCTCACTATTTTTCTCTAATTATTACTCCTTGGAACGCCAAAAGTAAAAGAGAGCTCAAGCATTTGTCTATAAGTATTATTACCTAACCTGTCTAATAAACATGGTTGTAGTCCAGTAACATACTCTAAGACTGCAGGAGTCCTTGCTCACTTAGATTTCGAAGAAAGCCCAATGCCGACTCTGTGAAGAACTGTATGTAAGAGAAAATATATGAATTAGTTCATTCAAACTTTAACTTATTTACTGTCTATTGCATCTACCTGTTAACATGCATTAAAAACATGTTTTGACGAGACATCAGACTTTGAAATTTCACATGTCAAAGTTAAAAGTTTTCCATGGAAGTTCTCGAGTGAGTGGGAAAATATGAAAGAATGTAAAATTTTGATCTGTGAAACTTTGACATTTGATGTTGCATCAAAACATGTTTTTGCATGTCAAGCATTAACAGGTAGATCCAATCGACAGTAGGATTCCAAAATACATAGAAATAACATGTATCAAAGTTGCTAATAACTAGACCATTAATGATAGTTTTAAAAATATATAGAAAATGTTACCTGAGGTTGGCAGTACTCTTCTAGCCAATTAAATGTGCCTGAGGATAGACTGTCAAAATCTCTGACATTCACAGAGCTGTTGAATGTCGCAAACTGTTTTTCCATGATCTGTTTAAACTGAATAAAGACTCATATTTATTAAAAGGTGAACAACCATTTGATATGGGTTTTCTGCTATGAGGGGCACCCTTCTTTTTCCCCCTGTCAATTGCATTATTCTTCAAGTAACCTGCTTTATACTGACACCTATTAACAAGGTCCCATTCTAAGCGGTCCCTTTAGTGTTCAAAAGGTTTGCACAGGGTCTATTCTTACTAGAACATGCATTTAATTTTTAGTAATGAATGATTATTAATACTCACCACATTAAACTTGATTTCATCTGGAACTGCTTGTTGTCCAGGAGCAGGCTTCAAATGAACCAAACAACATGCATATTGATCATTGTTCCTTTTTGACACATTGCTGTTAGCTGCTATGATGGAAACCGCTAGTGAGAAGTATTTGTCCCAACCCACCACCAGAACCATGCTTTGCGAACCAACCTATGTCACCCTTGTCTCTTACACTTGGTACAGTAGTACAAGCTGTTGCAGCCCCTAGGCCTGGTGAAGGGCATTGTTAAATGTTTATTCCACCCTACACCCAGAGGAAGTGAGGAGTGCTTAGGAAGCCAACCTCCACTTAACCTGTTAGTGTGCACAATGCAACCCTTTTTCATTGCATTTATTTTGGATTTCAATATTAAGTAAAATAAATGAATAAGCAATTACATTTTTGTCAGTCATCCTACCTGGTTCTGATGAGCCAAAGCTATAGATTCATAATTCCTACAAGATAAACAAGCTGATAGTTGCTAAGAGTTTCTCACAAGGAATCAATTTATAAGCCAACAAACCATTTCACCAAACTCACGCTTTCATAATTCTAAATGCCATGACATCCTTCTTCAGTTTGTCTAGTTCTTCATCATGCTTTTTTCTTTCCTGGATCATGTAGCCAATATAATCAATAGCTGTAAACAAATAAGGGATATCCATTTGTCATTCTCACATTAACCAAGCATCCCACTCCATCCTCTCTTCCCATTGGTTCCCATCTAACCCTCACCCAATAAAGTATTTTCTTGTGACATCACAGTGGCATTGTTGGTGTACCAAAACAATACATTTTCTTTCTTCCAGGAATTGAACTCTATTTTTATGTCAAAAATTGTGCAGAAAGTTTGTACTGTTTGGTACACCAAGATGGCTGCATTCTCATGTGAGTGAAAATGCTCTATCTCTACAACTCTTACTTCCTTTGGGTAAAAATTGTCAATTATTTTCATCACTTTTCATCACCAACCAGTATTTCATCATTTTGCTAGATTTAACAGATTGGCCACAGACAGCAGATAGTATGACCCAAAAGTCAAAATTTTACTGGTTTCTTACTACTTACTTTTCTGCAAAACTACAGCCTTGCTGGGCTTCAAGTTTCCCGAAGYCCCATTTTGTTGATGACAAGTTGGTACTATCCTCTGTAAATCATCATATCCTTTCTAGAAGGTAATTTATATATTAAGCAATGGTATATAACCCAGGCTGATAATCTGGTATCTGGAAATCTGTAAATTATGTTATTATTATGAACAATAATTCGACATACTCTAATGGCATCTCTTCTTTTCTGCTCAGCTACGCTGTGTGCAAACCTTCTATGCTGCTTGGGATTGCTTGATGAGTCCAAATCATTATCATCATCTATCAAATGTTAAGAACACCAAATCAATATGCTGTTGTCATTTGACAGTGCTAACTCCTTGATATGACAAATTGGGCTGTAGTACTTTCATTCACTCAGTACACTCATTTTTGGAATCATTTATTCATTTGTCCCATTCGACAACCACTCACTCTGTTGTTTATTCAGCTACCCAGTTAGATCGGCCAGTGATCAAATGGCAATTTCTGTACTTATTTCAATATAGGCTGATTGACTGATTTGTACATTCATGCATTCAATGACCAAAGTTTCATTTCTACGTCAATTAAAAAAAACAGACATTGAAGCCTCACCATAATTTTTAAAAAATTCATCTGGACTTTGAGGCTCTGATTTAACATGGCTTCCTTCAGATACTTCAATAAAAATGAAATATTAAACATGCATTAGCAACTACTGTAATATTGTGGCTTTAAAATTTAGATAGAGCGGTGTTCGTAGGAATAGGAAACATGTGGTACTGACCTAAAGCATGTACATGCCGTACGTAACATTGAAATGGTTTCCCATTGTCTTACAGAAAACCATTCAATCACAATACCTAGCTATAGCTAGAGTTAGATAAAGTATGGTAATTGATGGTTTTCAACCATTCCCAAGAGAATGAAATAACAAAAGACACGGTGGCCATGTTGGAGGATATAACAAATGAATTCTTTGACAATTCTTTTGTTAAGTTCCTCCAACATGGCCGCCGTAAAAGCCATCAAAAGTACGACATCTTTGTTTCCCACTTATTTGAAAATCACTCTACAAACTAACAATTAAGGAGTGTCTACGTGTAAATTGCATTGGCATCAACTTTTAAAGCTATGATAAGTTATGAGGCATTTGGAGTCTTTGGTTTCAGGGCCTGGTTGTACGAAGCCTGAATAGCTCTATCCGGCGGATAAATCCTTATCTAGTGGATAAGTCGATGCTGTTATCCAATAGATTTATCCACTGGATAAGATTTATCCATCGGATAGTGCTATCCAGGCTTCGTACAACCGGGCCCTGTTAATCAAAAATTTACTAACTCTGCCTGTTGAAAATTTGATTGTCAGGAGCCAAAACACATTTACATGTAAAGTGTTGCATGTAGTAGTCCCAAGTCTACAGGGCTACTACACACAATAAAACTTCTCGATAGTCTTACCATCTTGCTCCATATTTGATGCTTCTATTGTCTGTATGTCAGAAATAATTTGACAAAAACCCTAAAGAGCAAGGCCAGAGATGAACATTAGTATATGTGTACAAGTATTGTCCATATAATTGTTTGTTAGCTGCATGATATGATATATGCACAAGATCTTTATTCCTGTCAATTTAAAGAGCATTTAAATGATAACCAACTCGCCCAAATAGAATATTTACGAGCAGAAATTCGTCAAAAAAGCACAGGATAATCTATAAACTTGACTTGATGAAAATAACCAGCTACGAGATCGTCACATTTTTCATTCTCAAAGCCCGAGTTGCTTTATTTAAATGAAAGAATCATAAAGAAAAAATATTCTGGTAGCCTTTTTAAAAGCTTTTAAACTAAAGCTTTGCATATTTAATCAAGAAATCTTACTCCTCTTTGGGCAGTCCAAGCATCACTTTCCTCTTCCTCCGCCATCTTGTATTTTTTTGATGCTTTCACACAGGTAGCCCAATAGAATGTTCATCGCGGACAAAGTCCAGATCGTCCAGACATATATAACCAGAGTTTCAGTCTCTCTCCTCCCCATGGGCCTGAAACTCAGTTTACAGTACGGAAAAAACTGGTTGGTTCCTACTTTACCCATCAGAAGCAAGGAACTGTGTTCTAGGGCCAGAAAACCTCAAAGATTTAAATATAGTGTTGTTCATCGTCTTGGCACATAATGAAATGAGAAAGGAAAAATCTAGGTTGGGTAATAAAGAAAGCAATACCTGTTAGCACCTTTTTATTCTGGGTTTAAGAATCAAGAAAGGCATTGGAGAGGGGGTAGGCCGCTTCTTAGCTCCGCTTTCGGGGTTTTATCCTTGCTGCGTTGTCTTATTATGAGCGCGAGTTTTTTGTGTATGGCRAGGGGAGGGGGTTAAATAATGTTTACATTACAATATTACGGGTCCAAAAATCAAATGGATGGCCCCAACTCCAAGTGGTTTGTAAACCATTACCTTTACTTATCTTCAAGGGACTGATCGTACGAAGAGTTGATAGCGCTATTTGACGGAAAAATACTTATTATTATCCAGTGAATAAGTTGATGCTGTAGTCCAATAAATTTATCCACTGGATAAGATTTATCCGTTGGATAGCGCTATCCACCCTTCGCACAACCGGGCTCTGGTGATGTGACAATTGGTTGACTCAAGTTCAAAAGTACGTTTTAATTTACAAATTTACTACACAATACTTTGTTCATCTAAGTATCAAAATATATCATAGTCTGTACGACAGATAAACTCAAATGAATAATGTCGTAGGAGTTTTTTAAAGGTGATATATACTTCTAGTTTACATACAGCAAACATTGAATGAAGATGAAAATCAAGCTAGGATGCTCTCGTTCCCATCATGATAAACTCGGACATTGGACTGTCTTGTGTGACTTATTCGGGCTATGGACTTTTAAAGTCATTCAAAATTCGCTCTATTGCCCACGGTGTAGTCACCTGCTGGTAGGAAAAGTAATCTACTATACAAATTCTTCGGTATTTACAAAGTGAACTAAGACCAGAAGGCTTGGGTTACAGTTTTATCCTAAAGCGGAGACAAAGTTATAGTGGATTATGGAAGTTGCAATGGTTAGCAGGAAAATTATAAAATTAGTAAGAGAGGTTAAAAGACTGAATGATAAACTACCAGGGGCCTCCCTAAATAGGTAAGGTAATTTTGGTGCTCGGACTACACCTCTCTGGTGAACCTCACAACTGTAAGGGCTGACTCTCAAAATGACTTGTTCTTAGCAGTAGCGTCGCCCTACTTTCTTGTCAGTCAAGTCCCAGCATTAGGACAATATTACATTACACATGACTCATTAAACAAAAATGTACAAACAAGCACGGTCCTCGAGTGATTTTCCTTCACTCGTGAAAGTAAAGTCAACGTAATACACAAGTACTGTAGTAGACATCGACATAAGCCAAGTAAAATCACTCTAAAATGAATCCAAAAGTGTAAAGTAGCACGAGTTGAATTGCAGCCTTGATCAATTCTGACAAAGTGGGCATCAAATCTTTACGACTTCAATCGGTGTATTTAGTTAGCATTACATCTGTCGAAAGCTCATCCTTATAGCATTACTGTTGAAAGTACTGCCATTGAATGCAGGGATATTTTTTGATGTATGCAACAGAAATCAGTACGTTGGTTCTGATCGAGGGAACCATTATCCAATATAGATTGAACAGGATATTTGTGACTTATGCATCTTGTTATAGAAAATAGCGAGTACGAGTAAGTGCTCGGGTGCATCACAAAGGCAAGACCATGCTTCCAGAGATTCATACTTTAATTAATGACTGCGATGTCAACTCAGAAAGTCACAACCTTTTCTTTCAAGGACTTTTCACAGCAAAACATGTATTTTTCATAGACCGTGTGAAAACTAGGCCAGCAAAATTCGAGGTATTTAAAGCGCTAATTTTCAAGATGCTTTAACCCACACCCACACCCACTCCCAGTCACAGTAACAGTCATAATTATAGTAGAAAGCTCTATAAGGAAGATTTTCTTAAGGTATCGAGATAATAGAACTAGATTTCTCTAGGGAATCGATCAACGCAAGATGCAAAACGCCCAGTCATACATCAGTACTGCCGATCAGACAAGGCACCTTGACTTGGTCTTTTTCTCATGACCAACAAACATACCAAGACAGTCCCCTACCGAGCACTTGCTTGCTCTGCTCTGCATGCATTTCTAGTTAATGCTCTTTGTCTTACCAACCGCACATAATGCTGGATACCAAGGGGTCTGTACTTCAACACTACCACCTTAGATACGAACTGTTACTGCTATTCGGACTCGGCGCCCTCCGACCAGAACCTCCTGCGTATTTACCACTCTTCGACTCATGGGGATATGATTTGTACGATTCTCGATATCTGTAATCTTGAGTGTCGGTATACCGTGGTCTAGTATATTTACTTTCTCTTGATTCTGTGGTGTATCCATAGCCTTTGTAGTCTCGTTCATTGCTGTATACCCGCTCTGATAGATGATCTGAGGCAGGTGATAACTGTTCATATTGACATTCAGGCTCTGCGTATTCATTACGACTTGACATGCTCTCAACAACTCGCGACGACGAATGATCATATTCGAATGTCCTACTATTTAATCGTACACGATCATACTCGCCGGTAAAGTCTTTAGGTTGCATCACTTCTTCTTTCTTAGTATCATTGAAATCATTAGGGTAAGGAAGATCCGTTTCGTAGTCCGCCTTACGAGCAAAAGGCGCTGAATCCGGTTTATTTGTACCATCGTTATCTGTTAGAATATTTGAAAACCTTTCAGCTGTAGATGTCCCGCTAGAGGAACCCGTGGTCCTTACATCAGGCAGATCCTGGCCATCTAATGGACCAGATGATACAGGAGCTGGAGGATCTTGTTCCGTATCTCTTGATTCAACCTTGGGTTGCTTGGAAGAGTCATCTACATTCTTTCCTTCGGCTTTTCGCTTTCGTTTTTTACACCACATTTCGTGGCAGTCCTGCCATGTTGGAAGGCTGAAACGAAAGAAGCACCATTACCAAGATGAGCTAAAAATCACACATATTAAACTTTTGAGTACTCTTAAAACATCTTGTTTTTTTTTTTTAAATGTCACCAGTCAAGAACATAAAAGGTACCGTACCGACTGATTTATTTTTAATTCACCGCAGTGAAAAAAAATTTTTTCAGCGTGCAGCTCGCAACTACCGAGTTCGAAGAATATGGAAAATCACAGTAATGCATGTATTGTGTAAATACCTTGGAGGGATAATCTTTGAAGGATCCAGGTCCTTCAAGAATGGATGTTCCAGGGCTTCTTCTGCTGAGATTCGTTGACTAGGGTCAAGGGTCAACATTTTGTCAAACAGGTCAAGCGCATCAACTGGGAGGCTGTAGAAAGAGAATTAGAACTTTTACAATCCAAGCTGACATGAATAATGACTATTGGATTATACTGATGTATTAGTGGAATACATCTCTTCCCATAACAACAAAACACAAAGACATTGCCATCAGATTGAATGACAAAACAACAACAAAAAATCAAACAAACATTAACTGTCATGGTGTATAATGACACATTACATAATGTCCAAAGAATTGTAAATGGGATATCAGGCTGTATACATCAGCTATTACAAAAAGGTTGTACAATTGGCTCTCTACCTTCCCTCCTCCAGTGCTTCTCAATCTTAAGCTTCATTATATCTAACTACTGGTCTCTGACCTCAAATGCCTTTGATGGTAGACCTTTTCTGACACAGCGAACATTGTGGTCTATTATCATTGTGCTACTCTAGGGACATCCTTTTTCGTTCATCATACCTTATATGGTGTTGTTTGTACTGATGCTAGATCATAATGCAACATATAAACTTATTGAACTCAGAAAAGGAACGAAAATGGAGCAAGAGGATCTCCAATACCCAAGGTAAAGACTTCCACTATAATAATATATTATAAGAGACCCTGCAATTTAAAACGTTTACTCACAATTGGAATTCTTCTTTAACACGTCTTCGGTACTGTTTCTTGGGTTTAATTGTATGGAAATGAGGCAAATTGATGATTCCAGGCCAGACTGCTGGGGTAGGAGTTCCACAGACGCGACTGGAAAACACAACAATAATATCCTTACTTACAATCACATATAGTTATGCTGATAAGAAGTGACAAGATTATAACTTGGAAACAGGGAAACTGTGGCAATCAATGTTGATGAAAACCACAAAATCACATCACATCACTCTTTGCAACAGCTGACATGTGCCCCTCCCACAAAAATAAAACTGAGAAGCTCTACAAGGGGAGACACAACTAGTTATATTTGGTAAATTTGACCTGCAACATTTCTGGCAGTTGGGTGATGTTTTTAGACAATTTACTTCTGGCCAGAACTGGGTAGCATATCTTAATTCATGGTTTATTTTGTTTGAAAGAAAACCAATTATGTCATATTTTGTTGTGTGGAATGTTGTGTGCAAGACTTGGACTGCACATCCAGGATTCCGTTCACCTGGTGTTTGTTGTGTTTGAAAGCAATATCTTAAGAGTGGCTGTCCGTAACGGTCGAGAATGGCGGGACAGCGAAGGAATTTTCAAATTTCTCATATTTTGTCAGAAGACA